ATATTTTTCTTGGTACACCACTGTTGCCATGCGTTCAGGCACTTTTGATCTTACTAACATGTTAAATATGTTTGGGGTTTAATTTTATATCTATTTATAGTTTTCTAAGCAGCTAGCACCTTGTCGGTCTTGGTTTTCATCAATCTGTGTAAGTTATGGCCCACCTTAATTTCTCTGTAATGCATATAAAAAAAACGTAAGTAATATGTTTGGAATGCCAACAGACGTCTATTATTAAATTCACCCGACCCAACAGTATCCGTTTGGGGAACGTCCAGTGCCAAAGTCATTGAATGGGTAAGTCGTCAATCCCTAAAACGGACTATGTAATGTACTTAATTTGCTGGGTTTTTATTTTGCATTTTTTTTTTTTTCATATTGAAAAAGTATGAAGAATGGGAGGTGTGAAGTTTTTTATCATCCTGGCGTCGAGCTATTTTTCCGCAAGACCTCACCTACAGTATCGTCACCGCAGTAGAGTTTAACCACCAAGTTCGGGATGGATTGGTGTGGTTCTTCTACGCCTAGGACACCAGAATATCAAACCATGAACTCTCTGAAGGCAAGGTTGTTGGGTTTTTTTTATAAATTGGATTCAGTTTGTTTAGATCCAGATAATAACTGTTATTTGTTAAGATTCAGATTGTTAAATGTTTAGGTTTAGATTCAGATTGCTGATTATTTAGGTTTAGCTTATTTATGTGCTCGACATATATGTATGTATGTCATCTAATTTTACAGTGTAAACAATAGTTTTGGGTGTAATCGGGATTCACTGTCTGAATCCATTATCTGGGTTTTTTTTATATTTCAGATATGTTTAATGTATGGTCTTTATGTATTAAGCTAAATTTATGCCATCGACCATATTTCTAAATCGTGATGGAAACTATTCTTGACTTTATTACGTTTATTTCCATACCAAAATCGTCAAGCTGAATCACCAGTCATTGTTTGACTTCGTAAAAGTCAACTCGTTGTGTACTTATGTAGTCGATTTTGTTTTGAACGTGTTTATATGATTCAGTTCCAATCCTTCTGTTACTGACCTCCTTCAAACAGACATATATCGACACAATGATTATACCTTCGTTGAATCAAACTTTTACTTCCAACCGACATCGCTTCTATATGTGTACATGTACGTACTTACGTATGTATAAAAATATATAAAAATACCCCAAATTTTCTTTATATGAAATTTTAAATATCTAAAGGATTAAACTAGAAAATTATGGTCTTTTTTCACAACTTTTTTATTAACCTGGATATTTAATCCGTTATCCGAGCAGACTAATATCAGGACGACCACATGTTTTGTGGGTAGTCCGGAGTCACTGCATTTGAACCTCCGTGGCAACAATGGAATTTTTATTCCTCATTAGATTTGAACTTGGGACATCCAGACACTTTTAACCTTTGAAGTCCAAACTCAAACCAATCAGGCACCACCTTTGTGGTTATGGTCTTTTTTCACGTTTGAAGTCAAATTGAAATCTTAAAACTCATATCCTTGTCTTAGCCATCACTTGCTCGAACATAAAATTCCTAACGAAGTTTTTTGTCACTTTTTCCCATGTTGAAGCATACATTTGATACTTTTGGACGGTAAATCAATACAGATTAATTACCGCTAACTGATCTGAAGTTTAACCATAATCTGAAGTTGACTTGAATGACTTCAAGTACGCCATTTTGGTTGAACTGCATCTGAAGTCAGGTTTTTCGAAATTTCGAGATTAACCGAACAGTCAAAGCCTGTTCTCAATAATATTTCTGGTTTATCTGTGTTAGATGACCATATTTTTTGTGTTCCTCCAAAAACCCTTGGCGACAAATCATAGTTAATGTATTACAACATTTTTTTTATTAACCTGAATATCCAACCTGTTATGCGAGCCGACTAATTCTTTTAAAACTACAATGAGAACAAGTTTTATTTGGTAGAGTTTATTTGCAAGGCTTTTGTTCTACCCCAAAACCAAGTTCGAATCGTGTTAGTGTCATTTTCTTAGTCAAATGGTGCCACCGATTGAAAAAAAATCGGTATATTTGTTTTTTATATTCAAACAGTGCCACCGTTTAATTTTTTTTTCCCTATAGTTTTTTCTTATAGTCAAATGGTGCCACTGTTTGAAAAAAAAAATTCTAGGTCCATCCCAGAATGGTATGTTCTCAATAGCCTTGAGATGATCATCATAGGGCGATCCTGTATCGACAAATGTTCCCATTAATAATAAAGGACGTTGTTTTCTTTGTTCTTATCTGTTGTTTTATTATTTAATATTTTATACAAATCATTTATTTATTTTTTGCACCGTTGCATGTGTTAAACGTGATTAAATACATGAAATGAATAATTGATCATTCTAAAAAGGGCATCTGAAACTATAAAATATAAAATACTCTGTTATTCTCTTGAATTGGAATAAAGGCAGATGTAAAAGGAAAACGCGTGAATTAGTTCTTATAACCAACACAATTAATATAGAAGTGTGACAGAATCTGATTTCCATCATAAATTAATGGTTACAATATGTAGAAACATATTTTCGAGAACATGAATTTTATCTGATAATTCTCTCTCTCCCTCTCTCTCTCTCTCATATATATATATATATAGAAGAACGATCAAATGAAAACCACTCCAATTTGTAAAAACCGTAAAAACTACTCTCGTCCGTCGTAATCTTATGAATTTCTCTTGTGAAATTGTTTCATATAATACTTTTTTTGATGAAGTTGTTTCATATATGGTTATGAAATTGTTTCATATACTACTTAATGAAATTTTAATGAAACTGTTTCATGTATTTCTCTAAAATTAAAATAATGAAGATGATAATATCCATGATTAACATACTCCACAATAAAAATGATTAATCAACCTCTTATAATTACAAAAATATGAACAAAATGAAAAATTATGATTGGTGGAATGAGGTTTTTACGGTTTTTACAAATTGAGTGGTTTTCATTTGATCGCTCCCCTATATATATATATACTTGGGATCATGTGAGACCAAAGTTTTTTCGTGAGACCCGTAAGACCAATTCTTAACCCTTGGATTAGATCTACAATCTTAATATTCATAATCATAAAATTGCCACAAGATTTCTCAATAATTACAAAATTGCCACCGTGCAATTTTAGACCATTAGATCATTAGCTTATAAAGTTGATCAATGAATATAAATTGGTCTCACGTGAACCCAACCATATATATATATATATATATATATATAAGAGAGAGAGGGGTATGATCTTTTGTTAACCAATTCATTTGTGTTAACTATACAAACTCTCTAGACCAGTACGAATCAATCTAGTACTATAATTCATGGATTCATATGTAATTAATGATTAAGGGCAAAGTAGTAAGGTTATGTTTTGTATTACTTTAATACATTTAAATAAGAGTTACATTACTCCTTGAATTCAATCATTTTGAAATTATCAGTGTGTTGTAAGTTATACCGTTTGTGATTGTTCATAAAGGAATGTATTTTGAGAAATAATCAATAACACTTGAAACAGTCAACATTCTTAATCAAACGAGTTCGTTGTGTTTAGTGTATCGTATAATATGGATGATCAATATGAACATATTAGCAGTCAATATGAATGAGCGTGCACTCAATGTTTAATAATGAATACTGTTCATTGGTGAACATTTGTTCACCAGTCACACATACGTACAAATTCAGGTATGTGTTCACTAATGAACATTTTTTCATGTATGTTATATTTTCATTGGTGAACAATGTTCATAAGCTACCCATATATAACAGTTGTTTATTAATTCACACCATTCGTAAGTTATACATTACATATTAATAAATGAATGAATAATTAAAGTTTGATGTCGGTTTCAAAACGATGGAATAATTACCGGAAAAATAATTAAAGTAGGAATTAAATTAAAGTACATTACTTTTTCATGCAATTTGTCTATCTTAAACTATTTTAAGAAGAGAATTAACGGGGTTTTACATATATGATAATACAATATCAGAGCCAAAAATCTAACATAAGATATAACGTCTAGCCTCCATTTAAAAAGGCGAACTAAAGTTCCACATCGGGTAGACAATCAAAGCGGTTCACATATGCTAACATATTTCCGTTATCGGTTACTGGTTTATTGCTACAAATGCTTTTACACTTGTAAAATTTGCTCCAAATGAAATAAATACCCGAAAAACCAGTCAATAGTACGGAAAATCGAAATTCTTAACATATTTCCGTTATCGGTTAGCACCAAGTACGTTAAAGAAACACATACATTTACTTATAAGAAATAAGTCAATAACACTGTTAACATAAATGACCATTTGTAATTGTCGTAATCGTTTTCTTTCAATTTCTTGGACCCGAAATCAATAAATCTGGGCCTAAACCCCAAGATTACAAAACCACTAAGATGTTAACAGCTACCAGTCGGTAGCTTAAACTTGAAGCTGACGTAATTTACAGACTCACCTTTTAATCTCGATGAAAATACTACTCTCACGGTAGAAGAAAAAGTACTTACTATTTATATCATAAACAAGAATAAGAGGCTCTTTGGCAGTTGCTGAATGGTTTGGTGCAGAATGATTAAGTGATCAGAATGATTAAGAGACTCTTATAATATAGTGCAAAATGAAACATAATTGTTTGGTAATTATTCATAACGAAATTAGGGTGTTAGATGGTTAAGGGAGACCCAAGATACAAAATCATTCAGAGGGTTTTTTGTTTTACAACCAGTAAAGGCAGACTTATTTTTGTCAAACAAGATTCACCTCTTAGCGATTCAGAGACTGCCTCTTAATGAAACTATTAAGAGGTAAACAAACAACCCCTAAGATTGACATTAACAATCTATTCGTTCGTCGTCGATTTTTTTTGGGATAATATAACTTTTAAAATACAAAATGTTTTTATAAATAATCCAATAAAACATAAAAATTATCACAAATTTGTGGTATTTTTTTTTAATTACTAAAATTAAACACTATGTATCCATCAAGCACAATAACTCTTTGAATCTATGGGCAGCAGCCTCAGGCAAGCAAATGCACACCACCATGGCACCACTAGAATCAGCCACCCCTTCAGGAAGGAGAACACACACTTGAGGTGTTGGAGTCAAGTCGATCGGGCCCACGTAAATGGCCCGACCCCACCCGAAATCCGACGACTCGTACATTGAAAACCGGGTCCATTGGGTGATTGTTAACTTCCCTCCAAATTCGAGCTTATTGGGCCGATCCACCTCGACAAAATCTATTGTCGATCTTAAATACTCTTCTGACACCCCTAAACGGGCTTCACGGACCAAACGGGTCACATCTTGGAGCGACCCGTTTATGAGGTTGGACACTGTGCAAGTGGCACAGGCTACACAAACCACGTTCCCGTAAAACCCGTCTTTCAGAGGCGGGTTTTTGAGTTTGGAACGAGCGTTGACCGAAAAGGTCAGACGTAACCCGAAGTCTAGTGGCTTCACGTTGAGCGCTTTGACCCATGACCGCCAGACGTGAGCAGCCATTGCGTCAAATGTGGTGCACCCGAGGCTATCCATGGGTCGAGCAACACTCTTCAAATGGGCTTGGAACTCTCGGCTCAGCCAGTAACACTTTTGAAGCGGTTTCACTTCCCAGAGACTGATAGTCAGGTTTGACCCGTCATCGATCTTCATAAACTCAACATGAGGGTACTTAACCATCGGAGGATCACGAGGCACAAAAATCTCCCGATCCCAACAAGGGTTCGGATCCACCACCAACGAACCCGTTTTCGCGGTCGAGGCCCAAGCCCCAAGAAACTGCATAGCCCCAAGCCCATCACAAATACAATGGCAAATCCTTAACCCAAGGCTAAACCCACCACAACTAAACCTAGTAACCTGGGCTATTAGCAAAGGCATGTCAATAACCTTATAGTTCCCCTCATTCGGAAACTTGTAAACTAAATTGGACCAGGCTGGGTTTGGAACAGTCAGATCACCCAACCGGTCCAATGATAGTTCAGTATGGGCCTGAACCATAAGTGCACCTTGATTAGGCCCAAAAAATACTTCCAACTTTCCATTGTTGGTCCCCCTCAACCTACCCGAAAACGGGTAGTAGGGGACCAGAACCTTCCCAAGGGCATCTTTTAAAATATCCACGACATCGTCGAAAGAACTCCTCGTTGCAGTATAGAAGTAAACAGTAGGGGTGAAAACCCGAGCTCCGATTATGTCGTCAAGATTCGAGAGATATAGGGTATCTCCATCCTGAGCTTGGATCGGCCCTTCAGGGAGGACCGAAAAAGCTCGGTCTATTGAGATGGGGATAAGGAGATCGGGAAAATGGCGCTCCTGAACCCATGACGACGAGAATGGAGCCATTAGAAAGTAAAGGGTAGAAGCATGGAAATGGCATTTGTAAGCAATTTTGTGCAAGATAATAGGGGGTTAATGGAAAAGCATGCCAAGATGTTGAGCTACAAATAAATAGGGGTTTCAAATGGTAGGTGAGGAAGAATGTTTGCATGATTGATGGGTACAAAGAGAGTTTGTTTGAAACATGTAAATTGTAATCTTGAATTTGATATATAGGGTATCCAAAATTATGATTACAAAAATCGTGAGAGGGGTAAATTGGTCATTTCACCAAAAAATCGGAAAACTTGCCACCACCCGCCACCATCCTCACCAACCGAACTCGGTGAGTCAAGGCCACTCTCCAAGCCTGTCACCGCCGTCTCTACCACCATTTACACTACATGACCAAACTCAGTGAGTCAAGTGACTTCCTCCACCTTGTTACCGCCATCTCTACCACTATTTACACTACATGACTCGACCAAAGTCAGTGAGTCAAGTGACTCTCTCCATCCTGTGTACCACTATGGCAAATGTGACCTCCGTCAACCACCTAGATCACTGCCACCTTGTTGCCACCCTCGACTGCCACTGGCATCAACCTCTACATAGACAGCAACCACCCTCTACCACCATTGACATCAACCCAAACATAGGCAACAAAAGCATCACCACCAACAACTGCCGTCTTGCTGCCACCCTCTACCGCCATTGATATCAACCTCTACATGGGCAGCAAAAGCATCACCACCATCAGCCGCCATCTTGTTGCCACCCTCTACCACCACTGATTTCAGCCTCTACATGAGCTGCAACCACCCACCACCACCACCACCACCATTGACATCATCAAACCCTACATGGGCAGCACAAGCATCGCCACCAATTACCACCCTCTACCACCATCCTCTACATGGACTGCAACCACCCTCTACCACCATTGGGATCAACCTCTACATGGGCAGCAAAGGCATCACCACTAGCAACTAACCTCAACAAAAAAAGCCATCTTGTTGTACATTTAGGGCACATAAAAGTAAGGGTACGTTCAAATGAAAACCGTAAATATTTTGGGAATCTGAGAACCAGCTAGCCACAAATTATTCATTATGAATAATGAAAATGCATGATATTCATCATGAATAATTCATGATATAGTTGGTTCCAAGCTTCTCAAAGATATTTACGGTTTTTATTTGAACCTGCCCCATAAAAAGTAATCATAAACTCAAGGAAGAACAAGAAACAACGCTACGGAATCTCCAAAATGGCAAATTCTGCTATAAATACACCATTTAATAAAGAATACCGACTTCTGGAACACGATCATTATGCTATTAAACAGATCGATTTCAAGTCAATATAACTCAAAACGATGAAATTTAACGACCAATACCGTCACAAACTCCCCCACTTCACATAACCGACTAAAAGAAAATGAAGGAAATCATCACCATCCAAAGTTTACTAACATATGAGCAAAAACAGAAACTAAAATTCAAGATTATCGTCCACGGGTGTTCTAATGTAAACCCCAAAGGGAGGTCCGTAAAAACCCTAAAAGTTCTTTTTGAAGTAAAATTTCAAAGTGAACTGTAAATGTCGTTGCTATGTGAAGATGCGATCTCAAAATGGAACCAAGATACGGAGGTTTATTGTGCATTTCACAGCATATATCATAATCTGTTCAGAACCTTACCGAACAGGCTGTTGGTTGTAGTGGTTCTTCTCCTTCTTCTTGGCGGCAGCAAGCCTAGCACTCCTGGCGGCGGCCTCACTGGCGGCAGCTCTGGCGGCAGCATCCATTTCCTTGCTGGATTTCTTCTTTTTCATTGAAGCCATTTTCTTGATCTTCTCTTTGACGTCAAGTTCAGACAACTCTTCAGCCTTTTCTGATCCAGCAGCTTCAGATGAATTCCCAGTTTCTTGTTCATTCGAGAGTTTTTGTTGTTCTTTGGCATCTTTAGAAGACTTCTCCTTCTTCTTCTTCTTTTTAGCAGTTTTGCTCTCACCACCTGCAACGGTTTTGTCTTTCTTCTCCGGATCTCCGTTTTGATTCTCTACCTTCTCTGGTGCAGCACCTGATAAGCCGATTCGTGAAGATAGTACAATAAATTGAAAACAAAAAAAGCCCTCGTATGATTGAAAAAAGAACTTATTCTTGCAAAATGTAGGGTCTTTTGGGCATTTCCAAAATAAAGATGGAAGTTTATGACAAAGAGTTGAAGTACATAGCCGGTCTCTGAAAAGAAGGCAGAAGTTTGATCTAATCAACGAAGTTGCGCTTGTAAGCAAACAGGACGGATGGGACTGAGTGAGATAGGCAGGTGAAAGAATTGTGGAAGGTTCTCAAGTTTTAATTTGACATGGGTAGTTTAGTAATTTACCTATCTTGTCCCATTCCCCTGGTTTTTCTTCGAGCACGTTTATCTCGATCTCGAGCTTAATAATTAGAACTTGTTTAACTTAACGAGTCGATCTTCATAACACCAATGTTCAACTTGGCTCGTTCCAAACTCGATTTAAACTTTTTGAGTCGAGCCGAACCGGGCCATTCGATCAAACATTTTTTCGAGCCAAGCATGCTCATATGTTCGTAAATCAAAGAATAAAGATATAGAAGTTATCAACCTCGAATCTTTAAAAGAGTTAACTGATCGTGAGTTTTTAGCCCATAAACAAGCACCGAGCATCGAACTCGATAATTCAAAAACTATTCGAGCTCGAGCACGATCCCTATATTGAAAAAGTTATCCTGAGCCCAACTTGAATAACCTACTACTCGACTCGACTAGTTTACACCCGTAGTGAGGAGGGTCTTCATGGAAATAGCCGCTGCACTTTGAGGTAGAGATCAGGTACGCATACTAGACTCGTTTGGTTTGGTATGTCAACATTGCCTCAAGTTTAGAGATGCACATGGCCCGGGCCTTCCAACCCCAATTTTTACTGAGTGAAAAAGACCATGTTTTTTCAGGAACAAAACGGAGTTTGGGGTTGAAAGAGGGTCCTTCGATCAGGCTTTTTGGGGGTTTTCTAGGCTGGGCTTGGCTTTTTTTGTGCATCTCTAATTAAGTTGTTTGATTTTTCTATGTGAAAAATGGTACTAGCTTACCTCGAGTGTCTTCTTGGCTATTGCTCTCGTTCAAACCCAATTCTGCAAGCACTGCTTCAAGTTCAGCAAGCTCCTTTTTCTTCAGTTCCTTCTTCGAAAGCTGCCTGTCTGCGTCCTTAGGAGGCAACACTTCAGCAGGCTTTTCGACAGCCACCTTCTTTTCTTCTGATACTTCTGGTTCATGATCATTTTCATCATCGTTATCATCATCAATTTCATCAAGACCTTCTTCTTCACTTTCACTTTCCTGCAAAACAGATTCAGGCGAAATATAAACCAAATGATTTGCAACATGAATGAGAAAGACTGCATACAAATACTTCCCTCCCCAACCCTTGCAAAGCTGAAGAGCCATACGCATCAGGATGGCCTTTTGGTCAACCAAATAATGTTTCTTAAAGACAGAATCGTAAGTGACGAAAAATTTGAGGGGGGGTTGGTTTGATGGAATGATTTCGAGGGATTTGGATTTGAAATCTTTGAAGTGTTTGGAATTAAATTCCATTTTTTTATAAGTAACTTATAAAAACAAATTATAAATAATTATAAATAATTAAATTATTTTTTTATTAATTGATTATTATAAGACAAATGTTTACAACATATTTTAAAACATTATTATACACAAATCCTACGAAATCCCACGAAATACCAACAACCCCTATGGGATTTCTAAATCCCATGTTTGTGGGATTTATATGAAATCCCAGGATTTCAAATCCAAACAATCTTCAAACCGAACATGATTGGAATGGAATTGAATTCCAAAGCCTATCCAATCCTACAAACCAAATGAGACCTTAAAGAAATTGGAGTTAAATTTGGAGAATAATTGGGAACCCATTACCACATAGAGAGTAAGAGAGGGTATCCCCTAGATGCAAATAACATGATAAACCAATGACTTGCTCGCTTCAAATAGATCAATGCCTGTATTCTTTACTCTTTCTTCAAAACCATAATGAGTATGAACATGAAAAAAATGGACAAATAAGAGATGCAAAATCATAAGAAACTAATGGCAGGGCATATTGAAGACACAAAGGAACAGAGCACTGAACGTGTCCCAACCAAACCTATTGAAAGTATTACTCCCTCCGTCCAAAATATATGTCCACAATGAAAAAAGCACGCAGTTTTAGAAATGTGTACACATTACACTTTTTGATTGACTAAATGACAAATTCATCCTCAATAATAGAGAGTAATGAATTTCTTAAATCTCATAATTAGGAGTAGATTTGAAAACTAGGCACTTACTTTTGAAAGGGTACACTTATTTTGGGACAGCCAAAAATAGAAATGTGGATACTAGTTGGTCGTCTTCTTTGATGATTACTACAAAAGGGAACACAAAATTAACAGCCTATCGATACTCTCTTGTAAGTGATAAAGTAATGCCCAACAACCTTAGGATAAGAACATTTTTAAAATTAAAGCCATGTAATGAAGAAGTACACCACATGATAATAGTTTCCATGTTTGCACCCATTTGGAATTAAGTATTGCCTAATGATTTCTACAAAGTTCATCATCATCATACCGTTATTATTCAAAAAAGACAAAGTGGTCTCAGTTCCCTAACACTACATATGTACCCTCTTATTTGCCGACTCAACCGGCAAATAAAGACTAGGCCCGAGCCACCTCCCCATACCTGTTTGTTAGCAGCTTAATGAGCTTAATGGGCTCACTGCTTATTCAGCCAGCTATACATAACTCTTTGGTAGTGGCTTAATGATATAGAAAGTGAATTAATCAGTAAGCTTCTAGGGGGAGCTTTATGCAGAAAGCCAGGTTTTTTTTTCCAAACCTGCCCCTCCCAATTAAAAGACTCCGTCTATGAAAAACCCCTCCCAAACAAAAATCTTTCTAATCTATACAGACAGATTAATCCACATAGGCAAATTCCATACAGAACTTAATGGAAAACCAACTAAACAGCCTCTTAGAGTCTCCTCAGGGCCACTTAGGATTTTCCTTGCTGTTATCTTCAGAGTCAAGGTGGATGCAAGTTAGCCGGGACAACCAAGTTGTCAAAAAAACATGGACCCTCATTTGCTTGGAATTATTTTTGTTGTATACGAGGCTTAACATCTAGGCAACCAATTCAGAAACCATTAGTGAGAATTTTTAGAACATTTATAAGACAAGCAAGGAGAACATAATTAACAGTATTATTTGAATCAATTGAATGAAGAAAGTAAAGACTTAGAACAATAGGCATATAAAAGTTTTAATGATCATGTTTACATGCTCTAAAAATTATTAAATTTTACATATTAAATGAACCACATATACATCATATTAACCCCAATTTAGGTGATTAACTGCTAGAAATCGACTCAAAATCCATTTAACACTTTTTAGAACACTAGTGCCACCAACGGAATCCATCAATTACTTTTGCCATAGGTTGTATTTCTAGAACTTCTAAAATGATAAGAGAATCAAATGGATTCTGGTGTTTGAATCACATTAGAAAATAAATCAAGTATAATAAGCTGAAATTGTAGAAGCTGAAAACTAAGAACAAATATTTCAATTTTGAATCTGAATAATTTTAAATCAATATCATAATGGATATTAATATCAATTTGTTCCATCTCCAAATAAGTGTTTCTTATCTTATCGTGGCTTATAATATAGAATAATTGGGATAAAGTGAAAGATAATTTTGTTGCTCCAAAAGCTTCCAATATGTCAAACAAATGTTGCCAATCGCAAAATTTGAACACAAGATCTTTGGTTGGTAAATCTAGTGAATTGTCAATCTAGGCATCTTTTTGGGGCCAGTCGATTGTTTTAACTTTTAACCAAGGAAAGAATTGTACCTTAACCAAGAAGTTCACACTGGTATGTAATCTATGATCAAGAAAAACAAAATGCCACTCCCTTAGTATCAAAATATATGTCCACAATAAAAAAGACACAGTTTTTTAGGAATGTGTAACTGTTACATTTTTTTAATTAACTAAATGACAATAAAAGGGTGTGAATTTCACCATCTCATAATCAAGGATAACTGGAAAGTAAGCACTTAGAAAGTGAACACTTATTTTGGGACAAACTAAATGGAAACAAGAACGGTTATTTTGGGAGGGAGTGTTAAGGAATCCCAAATGAACCAATAACAATCCCTTGTATGCAACTTTTGGTGTTCCCTAAAACTTCGTTTTACACTCAAGCTCAAGCACTCTCCCAAAAAGAGGTCGTGGACCCAAATCTACTCGCTTTATTGGTAAAGATGAGTATCATGAACGTATTAAGGAAGGGAATGTTGCAATAATATGGGACATCCCAAAATGGAACTTATCACTCAACAATAGTTGTAACACGGGGTATGTATGGCCGAAAATAATGAGAAACACAATTAGTCTTGAAACTTAATCAACTGATCTATAAGTACCTCAATTTACCACAAAAGAATTACCATCGGGAAAAAATTGAAGACCTCAAAATCATTTAACCGAGCCACCTCCTGCTACTAATTCACACACAAAAGTCAGCAACATCCGAAGCAATGTTGATAAAGAATTTATCTTCTATGGATTAGCATAGGGTATATTGAGTCCTGTTCCTATTTAATTAATGGCTATTAAAATACTAATATTGGTTCTCGAAAAGTTACCTCCTGTAGTTACTCACATTGAGAATAAAAGATTTCCTTTTTGTCAATGAGAACGGAAATATACTATTATCATGAGCAGGGCGAAGAAATGATCAGAAGGAACTCACGTATTAAGATGAGCCAAATGACTCTTATTTTCACTAATTAAGGTCTTTCAATTATTTCCATTTTCACCAATGCTAATTCTATGGTCTTTCAATTCCCAATTTCCAACCCTGTGTTCATCTGACTAACACAATTGACTGTTGATAAGAATATACTATACACAACTATCATATAAACTCAAGCTCCTATTTTTGTGTACAAAATAATAAAACTAAGGGGCCGTTTACCAAACGCTTACAAGGTAAGCATTTGGCGGTTGTCACTTACCTTACCGGGTGAGCATGGCAAGAACTGAGAACCTTATCTGGTAAGAGGCATAGCAAGGACTGAGAATCTTATCCGGTAAGTGAGGGAGAAGACTCTTACGTGGTAAGCCCTTACTTACCAGGTAAAATATGCTTACCAATAATCCATTTTGATGGCTGAGAATGTTAACTGATAAAATAAGTGAGGGTGGTGACTCTTGGTGTTGGTGGTAAGTGTACCCAATAAGTGTTTGGTAAACGGCCCCTAAGAGTTTGGTAAACGACCCCTAAGAGTGCACAAATCTTCATACTAAAAACAACCATCCGTGTAAAAATATGACCATACAGCATACAAATCTACCTAATCAGTAAGAACATTTGATGCACAAAGCAGAAAAGGAAGAATGTTCATTTAAGATATATGTAAATACTAAGCCTGTAAATAAGTATTATAAAACCTGTTTAATTTAGAAATCATGAGATTACCAAGTCTAAAGAATGTTTAGGAAACAAAAAGAAATTACAAGAATCCTTCATTTAGAAATAAAGTAAAATTTAAGCCAGCATATAATGACAAACACTAATAAATCCCAGTTAGCTTATAAATGATGTAAATTACCAACTATGCATATAATAAGATGCATTTATAAATAAACTTTTATTAGAAGTAATGTAAATAACCATGCAAAATGTCTTAACTTAGAGATAATGTAAACTGAAATGACAACACTAAAAAAAGGGTCATTTAGGGAAATGACCTTAAAATGAGTTCTTAATTAAATTCATGACCTCCTGGCCTATTAAAGAAAAAATGGCTTTATACTTGTGAGAAGGTCATGGATTTAATAAAAAAATCTCAGTTAAGGTTATATACCTAAAAATCTCAAAAAATCATCACTATCCTTTGTATACCCAGTAATCTTGCATAAATTCAAACCTAACCTTTATAGAACACAAGACAGCATTCGACTAACAAGATTCCAATCCACACAACATTCACATCCATTTTGAACAAGTGTGAGACAGTTGAAACAGACATCAAGATGAATTGTAATGAAACAGACAATTGTACAGAACCATAATTAGCATCTAATGTAATCCCATAATCCATGATTAAATAGGTTAATAGCAACTAGAAATTTTATAGTAACAGTTTAGAGAAACAGGGTCAGGTTCTAGGGAAAACCGCAACAAAAATGAAAAACCAAGGGACTAGCTTGTAACAGTTCATCTAGATGGTATGAACATTTGCATACAAGTGAATATGTAAGCAATTTGTCCGGTATGCAAATGTGCACAAAAACCAAGAAACAGCAATTACTTATATGAACGTTATCGTCTCACTTTTTCATTTTTTGGGTTTTCCTTGAACCTCCCTCTAGAAACACAATATAGAAAACTGTAGATGCAAATGCAGTAAAGATGAGAAACTATAAGGATGCTTTCAGGGGTTCCTCACCTCCACCGGAGTCTCATATCCCTTCACCTTATCTTGCTGGTCTCCGCCACCAGCTCCCCAAACAGACGGCGGAGGAGCAGTGGTTGCATAGTAATCATCATCATCTTCATCATCCACATCTGCCCATGACTTCACCGTTAATGGTGCCGGAGCCCAGAAAACCTGCTCCTCCTCTCCCTCCTTATCCATCCCCTTCTTCGAACTACCACCCTTCCTCGAAGAACCCTGCTCTTTATCCGACTTCTTCTTCTTCTTCAAGCTTCCAAGAGCAGCAAAAACATTCGAGCTGCTAATCGCTATTGAATCATCCTTCCTATTTCCACCTCCAGCCATTTCTATATCCAACAACTCAAATCTCAAATCGAAAACTTAACAGGTCGAAATATCAAGTTCTCGAAAACTTAAGGATTTAATTTGAAAACAGATACACTTATATATGTATGTATATATATACTTATACACACACAAAAGTGAACCTGAACAAGTATTTCAAACGATCGATTTAGTTCTAACCGGTATCGTCAAAATCAAAATCTTACAGCAAACAAACCCTAGTACCAATTAAACTGAACCAAAACTTCAAACTAAGATGCGGATAAGATTTAACACAGAACAATAACGTTTCGTTTGGGGATTTGACCAGATAAACGATCCTCAAAATCAAGCAACAAAACTCAACCAAATTGAACGGGAAAACAAAAAAACAAGAATTAGGATTCGATTAACGCAAACAACAATAATCTGGAGCAAACAAGATCAATGATCTCTTCTCCTCCTCCTTTCCCAAATCGACTAGAATTGACTTGTGTGATAGAAATGATAAGGTTTTTGCAAGAATTTAATGGAATTTCAAACGGCAAAGTCACACAATAATGGTGTGTGATGAAGGGGATCTGGTGGGTTCAGGGTCTGAATTAGGGTTCGGATGACGATGAGCTGCTGCTATGGAAATTGAGGTGTTTAGGTTTCATTTTGGTTTGTTTTTATGTGTGTTCACTATGGGTTTCAGTTTTTTAGCATCTGTCAATCTAGACCGTTTATTTGAGACAACGGCTGAGATGAAGCCATGTGTCTGATTTTTAGATATTGCTTTTTTTTTAGGATATGATAATGCACCATCTTTGAAATATATTAATCATTTAAATTGATTAATATGTATTTAATATTAACCAATTAATTATAGATTTATGATCATGTGAGACAAGGATGTTTTCGTAAGCTACGTGAGATACGATTTTTATATTTGAAACTTTATGTTAACAGTGTTTTGCCGTGAAGATTCGGGTTTTTTTTACCTTCACAACATTTTGTTATGAAGTTTTAAGTGTAAAAATATTATCTCACGTGTCTTATGAAACCAGTCTTCTCTCATGTGAACCCAACCCATTAATTATATGTGAACATAATGATGAGAATGTAAATAATTTAATTTTCAGATTATTTCAAAATTAAAATTTTGTAATTAGATTTTTTCAAAAAAAAGAGGGGGGCATAACTTTTATTTATAGTTACAAGCAAATGATCGTATGAGAAGGAAAATTAAGCTGAGAAGTGTAATAAGAGATCTGAATTCTTGATATTTTTAATCACATACCCACTTATGAATTATGCTTTAGAAGGTAATTAATTATATACATCTCGGTATCCCTCATCAGTGTTGACATTCGATTAAAATTAATCTAAGTATGGAAATCTCTTCTTACGCTTTTCACTATAATTTTCCTTCTTATAGAAACTCAACCTATACTTCTATCTCGAGTTTTAACACAAACGCTACTAAAAGCATCTCCAACAATTATGCAGTATTTTATCTAAGATAAAGTAGGGATTGCTTATTTAAAACAACTTATGTTTTTTTTGTAAAAGTGTTTATTAACTTATGTTGTATCAAATCGGAGTTAAATAAAACATGGTTAAAATTGTAAACTGGTAATAAGCAGTTTTTCATAAGTCATGAAGGATTAACTTATCAAAAACAGCTTATTACCGATTTGGCACCGGTATAAACAGTTTTTTTTCTTATCCAAACACCAGAAAACAACTTATCACCGGTAACAGACTGAAATAAGTTAAAAACAGCTTTTTTAAGCAATCTCAAACACCCCCTAAAAGTCAAAATCTCTAAAAAAAGAATCCAACACCAACAGCTACTCTATTTTAGTAATTATAACATTAACTATATTATTAATTATAAGCGTCCGGTTCGGCTATTTTCCAAACCAGACAAAACCGTCAAACCACCAAAAACGGTCCGATTTGACTTGATTCAGCTAGTTTCAACGGTCCAACGTTTTTGGAACACCCCTACTAATAAAAGTTTGGTAAGATGTAATTGAACATAACTATATATTATTTGAACAAGTAAAATGTCCAATTTTTCCATAATGAGTTATTTATATGTTTTGATTATTTAGGTAATTTATTAAATTATAATAAAATAATTATTTTTTATAGCAAAATATATTATTAGAAAGTTTTCATCTGAACAATTAAAATGATCATTAAAATAAAAGTTTATGTAGTTTCCATTTTTTTATTTTATCCCTTTTCTATATTATTTTTTATTATTAATAGATAATAAATTACATAAATTAATAAAAAAATATAGAAACCGTATAAAAATAATATTTTGAAGGCAGTAAAATAAAAGTTTAAATAACATAAAATGCGATAAATAAAATTTAAAGAATGAATAAAATGTAAAAATGACACATATTTAATGTTTTAGAAAAGAATTAAGTTTTATTTTGAGTTATATTTGTAAAATATAAGTTTATTTCATCTTGTTCCACTATATTACTGTCTATTCCACATAAAAGTAATGTCAGAAGTGGAACAGTGATCCATGTTTTATCTTGCATGTGTACCAGACGCACCGTTATAGGTCGAAACCAGACGGTCAGTCCCCTTAAGCGTAGGGAAAGACCTATTAAGGTCCGAGCAAGGTAAAACCGGTCCCAACCATTATATTCCCCTTAAGCCTAGGGGAAGACTATTAAGGTCCAAGCGGAATCCCATGCAGATTCAACAAATTTTCACAAATATGGTTTTTTTTTTCTTTTCTATGAAAGGTGCATCCGTTAAATTTTGAGATATTAAAAAATACAAAAAACCAAGACGGTCCTTCGAAATCAACCAAAAAACCCTCGAAACCGTAAAAGTTGGCTAAAAACACATTAGACGACTTACGGACCTTCGATCTCGCAAAAATCCTAGATCCACCACTACTTAATATCACCATACCACCACCAAGTTTACAATCATCAAAGCTTAAGGTACAACCATCAATAGCTCAACATGAATTTGCATAAAGCAAAAACCCATATATTCTTTATAATAAATAAAAAAAGGCAAAAGGGATTCGAACTTGCAACCTGTAAATTAGTAATACCACATGTAATGACAATACCAGTAGACAACTGTTTCCAAATGGAAAGCTGCTTGGAGATGGTATCAGTCTCTCGCTCGATTTTTCCTTAAAAAAGGATCCGTATTTACACCATGAAAACAACATAACGTTTTAAGAAAAGAATCGTTCTTTTCTTTACATATATTTTTTTCCCGAACAGAAAAACGCATACAAGATAGCAGAGCATTAAGCAACAAAAAAGAGGAAAATCATGAGGAATGCAATCAATACGAAGAATATCTTGATCATTAGCCACCGATTGGACGATATACTGTTGAGGTACCTCATAAGTTGTCCTTGTGCCCCTTCGACGTTTGCCAGAGTATCTTCCATGTTTTCGTCAATCCTGTCAAGCAGCCACGATAACATTCATCAAGTTTGTATCAGGAAATGAAAAATCGAGCATTGTTCATGATTCAACAATCTGCCTATATTCACATGTGATGCTAACATGCAAGAGTGATGTTGTCGGGTGAAAGAATTTTGGAATGTTTTATGGTTTGAGTTTGGCACGAGTAGTTTGGCAATTTACCAATTATGTCCCATCTCCAAGATTTTTGTTCCACATATTTTGGTGCTTTTTGTCCCACTCAGTCATGTCTCGTCTCAATTGAACATTGTGCCAGAGGTTATGCAAAGAACTAAACACTAAGGATGTGTTTGGTACATGAATGAGACTGGAAAAAAATGGAAGAGTGGTCGGGCGAGAGTGAGGTAGGCAGGCAAAAGAATTCTAGAAGGTATTAGGGTTTTAATTTGAAATGGGTAGTTTAGTAATTCACCAATCTTGTCTCCATCTCCCAGACCTATTTTGGTGATTTTTGTCCGACTCAATCATGTCCCGTCCCAATTGAATGCCATGCCAAAGGTTATGCAAAGAACTAAAACACTAAGGCTGTGTTTGGTACGCGAACAAGATTGGAAAAATAATTGGGCTGGACTGGACGGGCGAGAGTGAGGTAAGGTAGGTAAAAGAATTCTAGAAGAAATTAGATACAAGTAGTTTAGTAATTTACCAATCTTGTCCCATCAACCCTAATTTTTCTTCCACTTATTTTGGTGGGACATAAATAACGCCAGTCTAATGTTGCACCAAAAGTGGGACAAGAAGGTTTTATGCTGACGTACCAAGCGCAAACACGCAACTGCCTTAACCATAACAACCACCATCACAACCAATTTCTAAGAAAGTTCTCTGAAGATGTAAACGGTTTACAGTCTAGATGAAGCTCCATATCCAACCGTTTGTTGCGGATAATGAAGCAAAAGACAAACAACACCACAGAGCAGAGAGCTTTACGTGGTTTACCCAATAGAGCGTGCCAATAGGTAACAAGTATTAACTATCAAAAAGAAATTGATGTGTCTGATGACCTTAAAAACAGATGGAGTCTTTATATACTACAGTACAGACCTAATCTTACCAAGAACTTCCTGTTGTTTAAACAGGAGCTTTTTCTCGACCACATAGTATGTGGTATACCGCTCAAGAACTAAAACAGGGCTCCTAAGTTGGATTAGAATTCAAGGCATCTGAAGAAGACTGCAAAAAAATGAAAAACTAAGCAACACTCTACTAACCGTTCATTTGTTCAGTATGCACACGTGCATATAAGTAATTTTTCTAGTATGCACATGTGCATAGAACCAGGAAACATCTTTAATTACTCATATGCACATGTGCATACCATACAGATAAATGATTATTATGGTGTTCCGCAGTTTTTCATTTTTGAGGGTTTTCCCCTAAACCTCCCTCTCTCTCTATATATATATACACATATATACATATATATAAACCAACTAAACCAAATAAACCGAGTATATATGGTTTGAGAGGGATAAGATGTATGTAGTAAATGCAGAAGTACAAAAATTTGTTGTCCCATGTATGGTGCGATTTGACTAGGACAAGTAGGACCCGAGTGAGATAAGCATGCATTTTTTCTGTCCAACGAAACTAGGTGGAACAAAAATAAGGGAGATGGGACAAGATAGGTAAATTACTAAACTACCCATGTCAAATTAGAACCTTAAAACTTTCTACAATTATTTCACCCCCCACCTTACTCTCTCCCGTCCAGTCGAGTCCAGTCCAGGTACCAAACATACACTAACAAATCAAGCCCCCTTCTTAAATATTAACTAAATTTTTTCACTATTCTGTTCAAATGAATAATGTCAATGAAGAGAGTGTAATGTTATTGATGATGATGAAGTACGAATGCCAACTAACATACATCATTTTTTTCTATTAACAGGCAATGTTTAGGGATGATCCTTGAGAAAGTGGCAAAGTTGTACCCTTACAACCAGCAGATCACAAATTCAAGGTTTTGGAATCAGACTATTTGCAAAAATGCAAGGAAAAAACTGCACAAGGACTTGCCTTCTAAACCCTTGCAAAGCCAAGGAACCTTGATGCACCAAAGTTGCCTTGTGGCAATTTAGGAACACTGTAAACCAAACCAAATGATTCCAGTCATCACACCTGGGGTGGAGCCTGGGAACTTTAGGAACACTTTACCATTTCTATATTCCCAATTGAAAGAATTGGGGCTCTTAAATCTACCAACAAGAGAGGCTGGACTTTTGTGTGCTACATGTGTGTGGGAATAGAGGGAATGTTATTTTCATAAGCATCTTGTTTGGTGTCCAGTAGCGTAAGGTGCAGATAAGAGTTCTTAGGATGCTTTTGGTACACTGGATAGGACAGGACAAAACATAGATTATTGTTCCAAATTTGGCAGGACTTTATGTGGAACAAATAGGAACAAAATGGAACAAAAATGTTCCACTCCACCCCATGGAACAAGGTGGAACAGATCTATATTTTATCAATATAACCTCAAAATAAAAATTAATTCTCTTCTAAAAACATCAAATATGCCTCCCTCTTTACATGTTATTCATTCTTTAAATTTTATTTATTGTATTTTATGTTTTTTAAACTTTCACTTTACTGTCCTCAAAATATTATTTTTATACGGTTTCTATATATTTTGATTAACTTATGTAATATATTAAATATTAATAATAAAAAAATAATAAGAAAAGGTATAAAATAAAAATTGGAAACCACATAAACTTTTTATTTTGGTGTCCTTTTAACTTGACGAAAACTCTTTAATGATATATTTTGTTATAAAAATATTTATTTTATTAGAACTTAATAAATTACATAAATTAATCAAAATATATGAAATATATAAACATCTCATTAGGGGTAAATTGGTTATTTTATATGTTATGTCCTTACCAATCTTGTCTTACCACACAATAAACAGTTGTTCTGTCCTGTTCTATTTTGTCCTGATTGGATACCAAACGCGCCCTTAAAGAATGTGAGTTTAAAGTCTTGGGAATAAAAGGTGCCCAGTTGCAAAAAGGTTCCTTCTTTCATCTTTTATACTATGTCCATTTAGCAAAAAAAAAAAATCATAAACTAAAAGTAGATCAGTAGGTGTATGTATCAGAATAACCTAATTGCGAGCTCCCCTTGCTGAGAAACCATGGTCGCCAATTGAGTGAAAATGTTGCCAAGCTCATGAATAGTTGACTCAACATTGTGAAGAGCCTCAGCTCTGCTCTGCATGTAACTGTCTTGTAATGGAACCATCTGTTGTTGCTGCTGATTTTGTTGTTGTAGCAGCGGCTGAGATTCAGTATCTGCAAGCTTCCTGAAAAGTAACACGTCGAAAACCGAATCAAGAGATGCCAAACATTTAAAAATAAGAAATTCAATGTCCTCCAGGCAGTTGTTTTAATGCTTATATCTCGCTCAGTTGAAACATTTTTAGGCTATGTTTGGTTGGTTTTCCATTAAGTCCTATATGTATAAAGTTGTATGTGTGGATTAATCTGTCTATATAGATGGTAAGGTTTTTGTTTTGGATGGTTTTTTCATAGATGGAAGGAGTGTGTTTTTTAATTGGGAGGGGCAGGTTTGGGAAAAACTTGGCTTTCTGCATAAAGCTCCCCCCTAAAAGCTTACTGAATAAGCTACTTTCCATATCATTAAGCCACTACCGAACAGTCATGTATAGCTGACCGAAAAGGCTGTGAGTCCCTTTAAGCTCATTAAGCAGCTAAAAAAAGCCCCTAAGTGAGGCTTTCATGTATCGAAGATTCCCATGACCAAATTGGATAAAAAGTCACTTCAAGCCAAGAAGCAATCTGATATGCCTGGGTGTTTTGATAGAATGTCAGCACCGATCTCACAGGGGTGTGAGGTGATTTGTGAGACTTTGAAGGGCTTAGTAGTTAATATTAATTAGTGATCTTTTTATTATTATATTGATTAGTTTGTCTTCTAGGATATCTTCTAGTATGCTATTTGAATTATGGTAGATTTAGAAAATCTTTACTCTTTTATAGGTCATTAGGGTTAAGGGTTTAGGGGAGGAAAAATCGAGTACGGAGTCTTGGGAAACCACCTACTTCTCGAATTGTAGGCACTATCCTTGCAATTTTCTTTCGTTCACAGATAAATAATATAAGAGTTTAACTTTGTGTTCTTATCACGATCAAAACGAATTTAGTTATTAAATGAAAGAAAATAACAGATTGTTCTTTCTGATTGAAGATCATAGAAGGAAGTCCCTTGTGAATTATAAATCCTAAGGGGCTGTTTACCAAATTTTCTATTAAGTCCTGTATGGATAAATTTGTCTGTYTAGATAAATTTGTCTGTCTGGATAAATTTATGTTGTTGTTTACTTTTCTATCTGAAACAACAGTCTGAATAACAGAAATGACTAATTTACCCCTATCTGCCTTATTTCCAATTTCATTCCTTTTTGATCCTTATGTATAATATCTAAAACAATCAGACCAAAAATTTACGAATTTTGGATGGGCTATTTATCTTGTAAAGCTGAATCCACTATTGCTGTTCATAATCCATCCAAGAAATCTGATAAAATCCATGGAAATGAAGATTTGATCCACAAGAAAATTCAACACTTTGACTACAGCGATTTGGAAGCAGCCACCAATAATTTCTCCGACCAGAAACTCCTCGGTCGTGGTCGTCTCGTCGCCGTCAAAAAACCCTCACACCAAAACAACCACCATTCCGCCCTATCCGCCGTGCCGGAGAATGAAGTTGAAAACGAAATCGACATCCTTTCCAAACTCCATAGCCCTCGTCTCGTTAACTTTTCACAAACACCCCACATCAGAATCTGGCCGGAGAATGAAGTTGAAAACGAAATAGACATCCTTTCCAGTTAAATCCTCTCTTTGGATCGATGGAGAAGAGAGAGGTGCTGTTGGTGGATAAGGGTAGGGCAAGTCTTTTGGCCGGCTTAATCTGGACAAGGAAGGATTTTCATCTGGGCGAATAAGCCCATTTCTGAGCGAATAAGCCCGAGGTAAACAGCCTATTTTGTCTGTGCGAATAAGCCATTTTATCCACTAAGCTCATTAAGCCTCAAGTAAACAGGCCCTAAGTAGTTTATGGAATTATAAATTCAACAAAGTGGACAATATACCTTGGGAACAACGGAGATGAACTTGAAGAGTCATTAGCCCACGGAGGAGGAGAGTTTGATGCAGTGGCAGTTGATTTATTAGCTAAGGGACGCTGACGGACAAATGGATTAGCGGTCTCTTTTGAAGTAGTTGCAGAAAATAACTGCCTTCTATTTTCATGAACCTTCAGGTTCTGCAACCATATTACCAAAAAAGTTTGACATGTGAGGAAAGATGATATAGTTAATATATGTACGGCTTTTCTACGCATATAATGCAGCAACTACAAACCTCTGTCCGCATGGTAAGAACTTCCTTGAACTCCTTTGTGGTGCTCATCAAACGGGTCTTCAGATTGTCAACCACTGTGGTTGAATGGGTGGTTGTATCACTTGAAACATTTTCACTTTCATTTTGGGAATTGCAAACAAGCTGCAAATCCACCACAGCTGCATTAAGGGCAGTAATGTCCTGCTTAATGAGAGCAGTCAGCTCTTGGATCTCCATAGTTGGATCATCAAAAACGGATGTCCTCTTTGCCACTGGAAGGACAAAAGTGAATTGTCAGTACTTCGTTTTCCAAGCTAAAGATTCGACATACGAGGACTAGCCACACCAACTTTGAGAAGCGCACACGTATTATATAGGTATGCTGTTCTATTCATAAGCTTCTAGCAAAAGAACAAAGCATTTTTCAGTTATTAGTTGTAGCATATATAAGCATTAAAGATCCTAGACCATGAAGCAAGTCTGCATTTGGCCCTCACCTCAATAACCAACAGAAATTATATCATTACTAACACCAATTTTCTACATATGACGACAGTGAATTACAGGATCAAACCTCCAAAGAGTTTTAGGTGGCATTTGTTTTCTAAGGGGTGATGAAGTCTTATTTCACTTCTGATTGATAAGAGGTGGTGCTGAAGTCTGAAATCTGAATCAATAAGACTGTTTGTTTTTGCAAACTGATAAATATCTGAATTTGTTTAAATTGTCCATTTTACCCATTAGAAAATCGGTGTTGAATTTATAGATAAATTTATACAATTTCACATATTTATTCATCATCACTACGAAATTTACATCTAAATTATATAATTAGCATTCATTTAAACGAAAATATGTCATTGACGGTATTTAACACATTTAAATCCTATTAAATATTATCAATCAATTGGAAAGAATCAATTGAGAGAAATGATCGATTAAGGTTGATCGATTGAGAAACGCCGTTGCGGTCTGAAGAATAATAAGAGGCAAATAAGAGGTTTTACCAAATAAGAGGACAATAAGATATAAGTGCCTCGGAAAAATTGGAAAAAACAAACAGAATGAGCATACCTCTTAATGAATCAAAGAGGCTGATAAGAGCTTTTTATTAAACAAACAAGCCCTTACAGTTAATATACATGTGTTGATTAAGTGCTTGAGCTCGTGAATTACAGGATCAAACCTCCAATGAGATCTTTTCATATTTTCATCATTTATTAACTCAGGAGACGCGATATCATCAAAAAGTTGACAATTCAAGGTGTGATTGCCATTTATAGTTCAGTCTTGAGGTTTTTTTAAGCTAATACCTGCTGAGAGCTATATGCCATGCTCAAGGGAAGAAAAAGAGAGATTAAATAGGAAAACTGATCAGGGGTTGTTTGTTTACCTCTTAATAGTTCCATTAAGAGGCAACCTCTGAATCGTTAAAAGGTGAATCTTGTTTGGCAAAAAAAAAAAAGTTTGCCTCTTAATGGTTCTAAAACCCTCTGAATGATTTTGTATCCTAGGCATCCCTTAAATATTCAGCGTCCTAATTTCATTGTAAACAATTACCAAATTGCACTATATCATGAGAGCCGCTTAATCATTCTGACCACTTAATCATTCTGCACTATATCATTCAGTTCAGGGGAAACCCTAAATAAATAAAAAACTAGAAAACACTTTATCAGCCATTAGATTAGATGATCAAATGGATGTGATTAAATGGGTGGTTACAGCAATATTAACCCCTCCTCCTCCTCCTCCCCCTCCTCCCCCCACAACTTTTTATTTGAAAAAAGAAGACGAAAAATAAACAAAATTCGAGCGAAATAAGTTACACCAAAGGAACAATCATATTTTTCTCGTTAATTAGACATCCATATTGATATACTTTTTCATCCTTTTTTATGGCTTCCCAATTTCCATTTATTTAGCAGTTTTCCTTGAACCTAACCCTAAATAGGAAAAGAAAAATATATAAAGGATGCAACAGGCCACAAGTGATTGAATTTACCTACGAGTTAAGTGCAAAAGAAAACTGGATGTAAACCATTTAGACATGGACACGTGAGGTGGGCATTTACAAACAAACATGCACATATACGGCATAGAGTATTCACGGTATTTCTGAATTCTGAGGTTCTGACTACAACATACAACCGCTACTCCATAAAAAGCACTATTCATCTGTGTTATAATGTGATTCATATAAGGTGGCTTTAGAAAAATTATAGTGCAAGCAGAGTTATACAACATAATAGAACAACTTCCTTCTCCATCTAAAATACAATACTTTTCTTCCTTTCCCCTTTATATTACTTTTTTCAAATTATTTATCAAAAGAGAGCTTACGACTTTTCATGTCAGATCATGAATTCATGATATCAAATTCCACACTACCTGAGATAGGCAGATAGCAAGCTTAACAAGTTGGTTTTCTCCAAGCTACTGTCATTCCTTTTCTTCTTTTTTCCAATGGACACACTCCAAAATAATCATGCACACACACACATTACATAACAAGGCACAAAAAAACAAGAAAAAAAGAAGTGACTGAATAAAGTATTCGCTGGAATCATGTTGCCTTGTGGTCACTGGAACTGCATCTCCTACAAGTTGTTACTCTCGCCCTAATTGTGTCATATCTGGTCCCTTCTCTTTATCTCTAGAGACAGTTCCCAATCCATATTTAATGGTATGGATTATGCCATACCGGAAACAAGAAGCATGGAGTTACCAGTTACAGGATAATGCTCCTCTCTCCCAATTGTGGGTAACTTTTTCAGTTTCTTTCTCTTTGCATTTGTTTTAAGAAAAAATATATATAACAAAATCTGACACAAGTTACAGCAGCACAAATTTTACTTCAAAACTTACATGATCAAGTGGAGGTATATCATAATATTAACATGATAAGCGCCATTGTGATGTAGAGATAGTTATTCAAATACTTCATTAGTGACTTTCCTTCTAAAAACCACTACATAAATGGGGGGAGTGGTAATATTGATTTATAAAAGATACACATTATGCTACATTGTTAATTGCAAGTGGCTAAAGAGAAACGATATTTTGGTTTGGTACTGTTTGATACAACAGGGTATCCATTTGTTTGCAAATGTCTAATGTAAGAATATATAAGTTTGACGAACTGTAAATTCTTTATTCTGCTAGATTTTGGTCTTGGTACAAGGCTTTTGTTTTTGTGGCCCGTTTTCATTAATTATATATAACTAAAAAAACCAAACAAGCCCAATGTATCCCACCCCGAGGTGGGTCGCCCGGTCGAGAAATATGATGTAAGCAGACCTGTCTCTAGGAGAGCGGTTGTTTCCATTTAGACCGATTATATATAACCATGTACATATATTCGTCTGTATATGAACTTGAAACATGTGTGATAGCACAAAATAAATAGTGCTTGTAAGTCTGTCCTATAACCACACACAACGCATAGGAATATTTGGGTGTTGTCACTAGTCAGAGAAGCTTGCTTTGCTTTTCTGTAAGAAATGGGCCTCCCATAAACAGTATTCGATGTATGTGATAAAAAAAAAATTCTACCCTTTTCCAGTACATATAAATGCGTTTCACTCCGTATCCTTAGTTCTTAGAAAAGTATCAGTAGCATTAGAACACCTGGGCAGCTCACTTCCGTAACAATTCAAGCACCACAAATTATGTGTAAGCTTCGATCCCCATTAGTATTATGGTTATTCACATTTCCTAAGAGTTAAATCGATACTAGATACTTCAAATATGGTCAGTAAGAGGCTAATCCACAATTACAAATAAAATATCACGACATACATCTGATAAGGCATCCAACTTTCTGATATTTATAGACAATTTAACTCACATTTTGCAAGCTTCGCCAGCTTCTGCGACGTTTGGTGAATCCCATACCCAATTTTGGAAGCCCTCTTGTTAAACTCCGACTGGAATGCGACCGTTGATCGCGATCCCTCAGCCTTGGTGGAACCACCAGCACCTCCACTACTATTAATCCCCGCTACCGCATTTGACGATGATAACGATTTTCTTAGTCTCTCCCCTATGCTCGAAAACTCCTGTGTACGATCTCTATATGACGACGCTTGCGCCGATTTCAAATTCATCGTATACTGTATGTATATATATAACGTGTATCTATTTGCAGGATCCAAAAAGAGACAAATTGATCCCAAAACCCCAAAACTAACTAATCGTTTTCAGATGCATAAAATCGAAACAGTTCGATGAGTAGACGCTGAATTCGATGCGCGAATGTGCATAGAATCGAATAATGACAACGAATGGATGATTTCAAAACCCTAGGTGGATTGAATTGTTCAGATTTCTATGGGAATGAAGAAGGAGATTGAAGGTGGGAGAAAACCTAGATCTGGAGAGATGAATGATGAGGTAGATCTCGTAGAAGCTTTGCGGGTTTCTTTTCGACCCGAAAATTACCTGTAAAAAACCGGTTGTTACCCGAAATTAAAAAAAAACAAAAAAAGGTAAATTACACTTGTGGTCCTTATGGTTATCGCCTACTATCAATTTTCATCCCTATCTTGAACTGATTACAGTTTTAGTCACTGTAGTTGTCATTTTGTTTCACTTTTGATCCCTCCAACTAACTCCAGTTAAAATAATCCAAGTATTTTTAGTCTTTTAAATCTTCTCTTTTTCTTTTCCTATCCTATTAAAAAATGTATTTTCTTATTATTTTTCTTATATTTAATGACGTCACTCCTATCTCTCTCTCTTTCCTTTCCCCTCTTCTTTTATTTCACTGGTGACAAGATTTAAGGACAACCCAAACGACTACCACCCTACCCTTCTTCGCCGAATTCCATCATCGACAAAACCCAACGGCCACCACCATTTTTATTCGACTGCATAAACTCTTAGCCAAACGTGTATCCCCCCGTCAATGGCAATCTGCAACAAGAGCACCACTATCCATCAACGTTGAAGCAAACACTCACACTCAACCACAAGGGTGGTGACTGATTGGTTTGAACTTGACTCCAAATGTCAAAAGTACCAGAAGGTCACAGGTGCAAATCCAATGAGAAATAAAAATCCCCTTGTGGCCACGGAGGTTCAAATGCGGTGACTCGGGAATATCAGCAAAGCAGGTGGTCGCCCTGAAATTAGTCGGCTCACATAGTGGGTTGGATATCCAGGTTAATCAAAAAAAAAAACACTCACACTCAACTTGTGGCTCCATCTTTGTATCTCAAGCATAAACGAAATTCGTGGATTTTGATTTTTGGGTTGAAGGGCATAGATAAGTGAGTTTTACGTGGTTGTTGGGATGACAGGTTTTCACGGGGATACGGTTTGATCATAGAAGGGGTTTGACGCTCTTCAAGTTGTTATGCTCCACTTATGACCTTCTCATTTCCCTTTTATCATTATCTTCTCAAAACTCTCTCTCTCCCCTTTGCCTCGATAACCACCATCGTCCATGTGGTTTTAGGATTCCATTTTGATTTCGATAAAAGGTTTTAGATTTGGGTTGTAGGATCCCATCTTTCGAAGATTTGGGTTCCAGGATTCCATCCTTTGACGATCCACCACTCATATGTAGTTTGAAGTCTATACTTGGTTTGATAATCTCCATTTTTCAGGTTGGGTTTGGATATCTGAACATGTTTGACAGCTTAAAATTTAAGGGTTTGATTTTGTTTTCAATTTTGGCTTTTAATTATGGATCTATGTTTTTCTCTGAGTTACGATTGAGATTTGCATTGCCGAAGAAGATGACCGGGGGGAGTTCGTCGGAAGAATCGTTGGGAAGAAAAAGCGGGCTAAGTTGTGGGCGAGGGTACATTGAAATTTATATAAAAAATAATAAAAGTGAATTACACTGGTGGTCCCTGTAGTTTGCTCAAATTTTGGATTTGGTTCTTAAAACAAACTATCTAAACTAGTGGTCCCTAACTTTTCATTTTCGTAACATCCATGGTCCCTTCACTTAACGACGTCAGTTAACAACCGTTATGAAGAACTAATCATTCTTTGAACAAACTATAGGGACCAGAAGTGTAATATGCTCTAAAATTTAATGTGATTCACGAATTTTTTTTTAATTTTTATTAGAAAATATTTTATACATCTCATCATAAATAAAATATCTTAAATTAAAATACATATTAAATAAAAATATTTATATTTATTGGTTGTAGTGATGATTTTTCTTCACTGTTTGAATAATTAGTGTTTTTTAATCTTAATATATAAATTTTATTTTGTTGTTATTTTAGTTATTTGTAGTTTGATTATATACACTTTGGAACATGTGAGATCAAGAGTTTTTTGTGAGACCCGTAAGACCAATTCTTAACATTTGGATTAGATTTACAATCTGAACATTCATAATCACAAAATTGCTACGAGACTTCTCATTAATCACAAAATTGTCACCGTACAACTTTAGACCATTAAATCATTAGCTTATAAAATTGATCAATGAATATAAATTGGTCTTACGGGTCTCACGAAAAACCTTTGGTCTCACGTGAACCCAACCCTAATTATATATTAATAATCTTACGTTGACCAAACTCATTTTTGAATATTTTGTTCGCATGTTCCAATTCTCAACCCAAAAGATATGTGACTTTATTTTGATTTACTTTTTTAAAACTTCAGATTTTTTAACGTTAATTTTTATGAATTTAATAGTTATTAAATATATATATATATATATATATATATATATATATATCTATACTATTTTATAAAGCATTTGGCTAAAACTCTTAAAAACTCTTAAACCCGTTCATCCCTTAACGATTTCATCCCATATCTAAATTCATGTAACTAACTGCAGATAAACACAATCAAATACATGATAAACATTTCATTTTAAATATAAAAAATCTAAAATATAATTAGTATAATCATTAAATTCTAACAGAATACTTAATTATTATCTTTATAAAATTTATAATATTAAACCAAAAATAAATTGTTTTATTATTAAACTTAAATTAAATTATATAAAAAAATATTATATATTATAAATCATTTGATAAAAACTCTTAAAAACCATTTTTTATGCGTAAAGTACTGTTTATTAATTCATATTACTTAAAACTCAAGATTACAAGTAAATTGTGCGTAGGTACAACTTATTAAAACTCCATATCTGAATTCGTGTAACTAACTGCAGATAAACGCAATCAAATACAGGATAAACATCTCATTTTAAATATAAAAAATCTAAAATATAACTAGGATAATCATTGAGTTCTGACAGAATACTTAATTATTATCTTTATAATATATTATTAAACCAAAAATAAATTATTTTATTATTAAACCTAAATTAAATTATAAAAAAAAAATCTATACTATATTATAAATCATTTGACAAAAACTCTTAAAAATTACTTTTTATGCGTAAAGTACTGTTTATTAATGCATTTTACTTAAAACTCAAGATT